GGAATCAGGTTGTTGCAAGCGGGATGATAAAGAATGGGAAAGCTCCAGGGATCTTTAAATGAAACGAGGTGCGATTCGCGAGGGTAAAAGTCGATGAGGAGGGTTTTGGGGTTTGCTACAGGTCTTGATCCTGGTCTTTGTTGTTGCGGCTGCACCATCAGGCTCCCGACGCCAGGAAACTCGTTAATCTTGCGGCTCAGCTTAGGATCCAACAAGCTTGTCCATATCAAGAATGCTCGTCCGTACAGCCTCCTGTCGAAGTCGGCAAGGAGACAATCAACAATGTGCGGCTCCGGGGTAAGAAAATAGATGGCCTCCATGCCAGGGTTCGGCTCTCGTCGCTCCTCGATCCGTTCGATGGCTACCGAGGTTAGTTGGCGGATGCGCTGGTTGACAAATCGGGGGCTTGGCTAAACTGACTGGCTATAGAACTACTGAGAATATCATCCTCTTTGACAGAGTTGTAAATGAGTTTCTTGGAGGCCTCGTCGACAATGAGATATTTCCACTGTTCGAATCGCCATACATTAGCGCGCGTGCTGTTGTCGGGTACGCAAAGGGGGAACAAGGGGGCAGTCTCGGGCCTTACGTCTGCTTGGGTACGATTCTGGATCTCTTGCAGGATGGCTGCGGCACAGGCATTAGTCGCAATCCAAGTCGAAACAGCTTCGGCGCAGGCGGCTTATTCCATACCATCATGATGCTCCTGGGTCGCCGAGAACCCCATGGTGGGCAGCAGGAGAGCTCCTCTGCTCTCGTCGCGGACAGCTCAGACGGGGGGGTTGCTCGAGGAAGGACGGTCTGGTGGGAAGAAGACTGGATGGCGGGGCGAGAGAGCGATGAAGATGTTGATGTCGGTGTAGGTCACAGCTATGTGCAGCCAAGGGGGACGAGTCGTTCTGTCGCCGGTCCGTATGCGAAATGGTGAAGGTTGGAGGCAAGAGCTGGTCTGGCCGAGACGGTGTGGTGGCGCTTTGGTGTTTTGGCGGGGTTGTCAAGGACTCAAGGACCGAGGATGAAGGACCAGGTGAGAGCACTTGAGAGTCTGGTTCCATTTCACCAGACGGTCGAGTGGTTGTCGCAGGATGCCGGCCTGGAACAAGGCCCCACGACATGCAAGCACCAAGCACCAAGCACCAAGCAGCCAAGTCGAGCCTTTTCCTGAGACGCACCGGGAACTCGGACCTTGAGCTTGTGCGTGCGGCCGCATGCTTGACAAGACTCGGTGCCTACTTTAGCATGGCGCCGGTGGCACCCGTGAGTCAAGGCTGCCGGTGAGTCTTCCGTCATTGACTAGCTAGCTTCACGGACAATAGCAACTGAATTGGTAAAGCACGTCCAAGTACGTCGACTCTGGAAGCATCCACAGACACGTCGTGCCAACCCGAATGAAGCCCTGTCTGGACATGCATTCTGTCTCTCCAGCTAAAATTATCCTCTGCATACAATAATACACAAGTACTCCGTAGTATGTACTTATAATACCAGTACAAACGACCCAGTTCTTTTCCTGCTCTCAACTTCGTTTTATCGTGACATGCTCCCCTCATTAGTCGACGACGTACCATGCCTTTATTCATCGTCCATTTGCCGTCGCAGATAACTCTCCACGTCAACTCTGCCATAGATTTCTGCCTGAAGCCGCTCCGCCCTTTGTTTCTCCTTTGCCATAGCCTGCTTCAGTTCCTTGCCCGTCAACTTGCGGGGCGGTGGCTCCCTGGCCTCCTGTTTCTGGCTCTCGAGTAATTCGGCCGCACCGATGCCCAGGTTATCATCCTTGGCCTTTGTCTTGATGGGATATCGCACTCCCTCGCCTTCCACGCCCAAACCACGTCGCGCATCCGGGTCCCATCCTTGGGACTTCAGGGCTCGCAAGCCCATTCGTGACCGGTCCAGTGCCGACGGTGGATGTGAGTGAGGCATGCTTACTTGATGAGCCAGTGATGCTTCATGTTCCTTCAATGACGTGGTCATGGGAAGAGAGCAGACTGGGCATATGTCTGGTTGGGGACTGGCTGTTGTTGTCGTTGCCGCCGCAGAAACAGAGTTGACTTGACCATCGCCCAAAACTATGCTCGCATACAAGTCGCCAATGGCAGTCGCTACTCGGGGCTTTGAGACGGCTGCTGTGCCGTCGTCTGATTCCGTGGCGCGCACAAACTCGATCTTGTTGCGCTTCAACCCAGATCCAAAGGGCTTCTTGTGGTGCAGCGGAATCTCGTCATCTTCAGAGTCGTCTCTCGGCCGGCGCATGACAGGGCAAAAACATCAAACCCGTTTGTGACCAGTCACCAGATCCGTTCGGCAGGTCCCGTCGCCACGACTCTGGTGCGACTTTTTGTGTCTGAAGGAGGGATCGATCTATGACAAACATGGGTTGGGAGTCTTGGGACCCCGAAGCGAAACCACGAGGCTCTACTGCAAGTCACGCCCCACTTTGACCCTTCAACCATCTTACCCTGAAGTTTTCAGGCGGATGTACCTTGGTCTAGCAAACAACTTGTTCTGAACTACCGACCCTTCAAATACCTCATAAAAACACGCTTGAACGTTGAGAAGAATTTGGGTGCCGATACTCATTTTTTGGCCCTGACTCTGCTTCCTGCTCAGTATCCCGAGGTGACGACTGTAACGTGTTATAAGATATGGAATCTGGAGGGCCATCTCGACATGTTCATTACTCCAGTATCGCAGCGGCGTGCGTGGTGACTTGACGCCGGATATTGACATATAACATGAGTTCTGTCGCGTCAATTACGCAGTCTGTCTGTCTTTTGAGATCTCACCAACTTCAAAGTCATTGCCACTTCTCTACCTAAGCAGGTACTTATACAATATAGAGAATCAATGACTTCCCTCTTGATAATTGGAGTACGGAGTAGGCCCTCTTCCAATCTGGTAGACAGCAGCACACTCACCGCCCTATCAGTGCTATCGACAGACGATGCCCGCACAACATGGGAACGACTACAGGACGGGTATACAGATAAGAGTGGTGCAGGATACGCCGCTGCCATACAAATGCCAAACGGGTGTTTGGTTTGCCAGAAAGCTCCCAACCGCGCTGTGAGTAGCTTCCTCCCGTGCCTTACCATAATAACAGTCTAAGCTGACAATACTCAGGCGAACAGATACATTCAGATCGCCCCGGTTATGACTACGCCTATCACATAAGCCCGTAAAGGATAAGCATAAAAGATGAAGCCGCTTCCCCAGAACGGACACCGCCTAGCAGTTATTGCCTGACACCCGGAGGATTCAGTACGACACTTACTCGACGATGGCTGACATGCGAGCCACCGGTGCGGCGAACTGCGAAACCATCTGACTGCTGCTGAGCGAGGTGTGCCAACTATGCCGCCAAAG